CGGTAGCTCGGAGACTAAGCTATAGTGGCAAGAGAGGCAGAGGTGGTAGACAACGATTGTAGTTGACTAATAGTAAATATTTTGACAGGTAGCCTAACATATACATCCTGTCAATGGAAAAGAATAGGAATAGAATAGTATCAGAGCCAAAAAGATAGAAATCTGGAAACATAAGAAAGCATTTTTCTAGGGCTTAGTATTGTTATTGGCCCGGTAGGGGGAATGGTTCCTGGATCTGTTCGTTTTTGTAGTTCTTGTTCGGCTCTGTAGCCAATGTTCATTCTTTGGTTTCCATCAAAAGTCAACTTCCAACCATAAATTTGATTTTTGGGAGGCACAGGATTTGTAACCCTGGTGCAAAATTTTTGGATTGCAGAGTGAAAGGCCAATGAAATATAGTTCTTTCCTCCAGCATTTAAAGTATGACTGTTCTATAGTTTGAATCTCTCGGGGTTTTTCCTTTTAGAAATGGGTAAGTATTCATCATGTTCTCTTAGTTTGGATGTCTCTTCATGTTGTTCCTGGAGTTTAAAATGGCAGACAAGCTTGGATACTCAACATCAGAAGTTTTCTTGCATGTTTATTCACCAATGTATAGAGAACAATGATTAGAACAAGCAAATTAAAGAACTTTATTGTGTGATTGTTTATCTTAAATATAGTTCATTGCTAGCGGGAACAGATACGAAACAAAATGGAAAACCGAAAAAAAAAGAAGTGAAAAAAGAAATTAAGTTACAATGTTTCTCCAACATCTATTGCTGGTGCAAGCCAAGTTTTCTAAACTATCAAACTGGATCAATATATGACAGCTACTTGACGCAGGTTCCAGAACACTTATCTGCCATGGAGCTTAGAACACGGTCTTGCTATGTTCATGGCGCAATAACAAAAAGAGGCTGCATCCAGAAATAGAAGATTTAAGACAAATTTGAAAGAGAAAAAGGTAACAATGAATATGTGTGTGTCTGTGAATGAGAGAGAGAGATGGGAAGGAGGGCAGGGGAATACCATGTCAGCACTAACTGGTTTCCCATTCTCTAGCAATATCTCAGCTATGGTTCCAGACTTATCAGCCTGCAAAACCAAAAACAAAGCAATATTGATAAGTATGATAAAACTTGAGCATTTCAAAACACCACAGAGAAGAAAAATAAATGATAAGAGAATATGGAGTTTGGAGAAATGGGAATCAGTTGTATGATTTCTTATGTTATATTTTCCATTTAATAGAATTATAGAAGTACTAGATAAGCAGAGAAAAAGGAAGATGCATACTTCAATTTCATTCATCAATTTCATTGCCTCAATGATGCAGAGAACTTGACCTTTCTGCACTTTATCTCCTACCTGAAGAACATGAGAAGAAAGTGGAATAAACATTATTTGCTTGGGATGTTATGAAAGAAAAGAAAAGCTTGCGGGCAAATATATGCACACTTCCTTTTTTCCAGTTTCACAATCTCTTAAATGGTCGGTAACTAACATTAAGGGCACAAGAACTTGCCTTGACAAATGGTGGTTCACCTGGTGCAGGACAACTGTAGAAGGTTCCAGCCATGGGGCTCTTCAGTGCTGGATGGGATGATTTGGCTGTATTCGCAGGGGAGGAAGGTGCTGGAAGGGACAGGTTTGCAGGGGCAGGAGTGGGAGGAGGAGGAGCTGCAGGGACTGGAGGAGGAAACATTGTGTGAGGCATGGGTTGTTGCATTGTGACAACTGGAGGTGGTGGTGGTGCCACTGGCTGCAAAGCTTCCTTCTTTCTTATTAAAATCTCACAGTCCAACTGCTTAAGTTGCAGCTCCACGATATCTCTTGAATCCACAAGTCTGCTTTGTCAAAGATGCGTAAGAACCAACAACAAAACTTCTACATATCATCAAGAATAGACATATTCCTATGCTCTTAGAAATCAGGGATGTTTCGCTTACTTGACAAGGTCTGATACTTGGGTCATAAATTCTGAAATGGATGATGGATCTGGGATGTTTTTCTCCGTGGGCTCGCCTTTTTCCTTTGACAATGCATCATTAGAGCTAGTGTCAACTCCAGGTGCTGAATTTGAAGATTTCTCCACAGCAACCTTGGTAAACAAAGTCACTTCATTTAGTATCTATATTTACGAAGCCACAAATAAATATAATGAATTTCAACTTGGTTGTAAATAACTGACCTGATTCAGCTGTGCACGCACCTTGCACATGCTAGCTTCCTCTGTCCTAGGCAACTGAAAAAAAAAAAAAAATCTACTTTAGTAGACAATGAAAAATCAAAATATTTTTACCATGTCATTTTTCATATGAAATCAAATTCATCATTTTTACTCATAAACAAAAAGGCATTCTCATTCTTCAGTTACACAGCCAATGCATTTAATATGAATCCCAAAAATTTCAGCTCAATCAAAGCTATATTCAAGCTTAAAACCCACCATGTGAACATATGATACACAAATAAATCACTGAAACTACTTATCCACCCAGCAAAAAGCAAAGGTGCACAACAAACTTCTCAGGCCACAAAAAATAAGACTTCATACACTTAGAGTTGAGATCATTGTTAAATCTGAGACAATCCCAACAATTGAATCCATCATACTTGAAGGATAAAAATTAACCAATATTACAAAAAGAACAAATCCTCATCCAAAAATTAGATCTTTAATTAACCCATATTATAAGTTTAAGCAAACCAAGAAATAAGTAATCTATAACTAATTAACCCAAATCCCAGTCTGTTTTAGAAGCAGGAAATACAAAATTGAAGTGGTGAGACAGAAAAAAAAAAAAAAAGAAGAAGAAGAAGAAAGGAGCATCAAACTAACCCGGGACATTGACAATGACGATTGACGGAGGGAAGATCCAAAAGCCAATTGATTTTGCTGGTTCTTTGAAGTTTGACCATTAGATCCAACTCGAACAAGCGAAACAACCTTAGGGCAAGGAACCGAGATTGAAGCCATTTTTCTCCTCGATTTCTTTGAAACCCAAAACCCCAACTCAGCTCTACCTTTATATATAACTGAAACAAGAAGAAAGATGTACAGGAAATGACGATGAATTCAAAGAATTGGGGAGAGAAAATCTGAGGGAAAAGAATGATTTGGATTGAAGTCGAGAGAAAGAAACAATGTTAGTATACTAGTGGCTTCGGCGTCGATACTTACGAAGGAGCAACAAAGGTTGTGGCTTTAACAAACCTCAACAACACAACGCGGCGGTCTCAATCTGTGTGTTTTTAGGGACAGAAACAGAGAGGGGTTTCCCTCCAACAGCTGTTGCCTGTCGTTGGGTCGGTAGATGTTTGTTTTTCATTTGTTAATGTGTTGTTGTGACTTTACATAATTAGGGTTTAAATTTTCATTTGTATTTTAAATGACTATGGGTTTGACTACTATGCAAATGGTTAAAGTTATTAATAATTATTAAATTTTTATTATTTTAATTTAATTGTTTTAATAAAATAATTAATATTTATTATTTAATAAATTAAAATTAATATTTATACTTTTAATAAATATTAATTATAAA